GCAAATCAGCTTGAAGAGGCATTTGTTTTAAACAAAATTAAGAAAAATTTTTAAATATGGAAATAAAGTACATAACAGGTAGGAAATAAAATGTTAGTAGGTAAGGGTAGGTGTACTGGAAGGCTTTTTATTTACACTATATGCCATTCATCACTATTTATTTTGTTTATTTTTTTTCTTGTGTTTGTTGAAAAAAATAAATAAACAAAAATAACATCTATCTGTCTATCCGTCTATATAAAGATATCACATCACATAAGAGCACCCAGTGGGTTAAAATAGTCAGCGGCTTAAAAAGAAAGTTTTAAATAATTGCATCCTAATAATAGTAAATTGTTGAATACATTTGTTAATGTTATTGCACTGAGATGCATCATAGGCTTTTTAATATTTTTTTTTTATAAATTACTTTTTATATTTATAGATAAATATAGATAGAGAGAGAGAGTGAGAGAGAGAATGTCTCTAAAACATGATGCATCCCTTACCAACGTGGCCAGAGCGCGCCGCACATGTCCATCTCAGAGGTCATGTTATTATGTAGAGTCAACAGAACCATCATGACCCAACATTCTGTATGTCTGTCCCATAGCCACATAGACAGTTTTATTGGACTTTGATACGATCAGCAGAGATTATTTAATCATATGTGTACGTGGACTGCCAAACCTGCAGTGGGTGTGTTAATTCTTTTGCAATTCACATCTGAGTGAGAGTTTCAAGTGGGCAAAATCTTAAAGAGGCTAATATTAGCCTGTGAGGAGACCAGGCAGGTGCGAGGACTGACATATGGACTGACTGAAACCTATAGACCTTATGCACCAGAGAAACGTGGGTGCCGTCATCTTTAGAATATTGTCTTTGAACTTCCGTTTTTGCGGTCGCTGTATATGGGCTCTATGCACGGCGTTATTTCCGGTGAAGGATTAAGGATGCTCGATAACTTCCGCCGATCATAGAGTCCAATGCAATACCGAGAATTTATATTGAATTTTATACTCCATGGTTAGGCTATACTAATGAAACGTTAGTCACAAAAACAGATAAAACAGACACCCCTCGTTGTGTTTATGCTTCTTTTAAAAATTATATTAAATAAACATAGCCTAACTATATATAAAATTACATCTAAACGTATGTACGTTTCGTTTCAAAGACGGGAGGACAGTAAATATTGAAGACTCTGCCATAATCCCGTTTTCTCCGGTTTTCCTCCGCTTTAATCTACACAACCGGAAATGGACGAGCATCCTTACGTCAAATGCGGAACTTATGCGTGCATATAGCCCATTGGCATCGCTGTCGAGGAGTAATTAGCTGGTGAAGTGGATTTACTTATTGTAGAGTTAACAATCATGAGCATTGTAATCTTTATAATAAGCAGATTTTTACAAGCAGTTCATTCATACTATGCAAGATCGCTGTGAAAATACAGACCGGAAGTCAAAAGTCAAACGAGCGCAGTGCTGAAAAGGGGCGGGGCTACATAAGGTCTATAGTTAAAAATTGGAAAATACAAATAGCCTACATATATATATATATATATATATATATATATATATATATATATATATATATATATATATAAATAAAATGTTATAAATTGCATTTGTAATTCAAATGCGTCTGTCAGTGAGTAATGCATGTTTTTCTTTTAAATGTTTTTTTATTTATTTATTTAAAAAGTAGGCTAATACATAAAAATTTCAAAAAAGGAAACTATTTTTCCTTTTTTCGTCTTTCTGTGTTGACTTGCAGAGGGTGTTAACAGAACTGACTTGAATCTTGCTCTGAAATGTCTTTTATTTGTTTCAACTTCTCTGTCCGAATCACTGTAAACCTCTCTTTGTCTGTGAGAGTCCATAATAAGCATATATTATTTCCAGGCAAAATAAAGGCATGGAGGATAACAACTTCCACAGATTGCCTTAACACACCCACATCTAAGGCCAGATTTACTAAAAGCTTGTGCCGTGCAGCGCAAACCCTCTTTTGGAGAAAAAAAAAACTACTTTCATGACTTACTAAAGACACACAGCGATAAATTAGTGCTGAAAAGCCATGGACGCAGTCATTTTTGCAGCTGACCTTATTCAGACCATAGACTGTACGCAACATTTATGAGAAGAGACTATTTAAATTTGACCCTTTATTTAAAATTCTCATTTAGCTTACACGGAGACGATAACAGCATTGCTTTCAAAAACTTGAACTTTTAAACAGGCATCCAAAATAACCAGTTGTTGTGTTAAAATTAAATTTACTTTAAAAAAAAATCAGTTTTTATTTGAAATGGTGTTAAACGAGTTTACAAGTTTCTGAAAATGATATTGTTATTGTCTCAGCGTAAACTACAAAACACAAATTTGTGAAAATGGTGACATCGTACATGCATATCAGAGATGGTCTTATTAATTGGAGATAAAACGGTCCATGGCTCTGCATTGGAAAAAGCATAATGAGCCTTACGTCATGAATTTCGCTCAGAGCTGTGCAACAGTCAATCACCGGCTGCATTTGAAAACGTTCTCAGTTACTACACAAGAATGAGTTACACAATATTAACTATAATTAACTAAAAAGAAACTCTGATTAACGAATTAGTAGTGCACAGATGAAAGTGGTGTTTTAATGCTTCCCTGAGAACTACTTGAAAAAGTTTCACAATTTATGCAAAACTAATCAATAACCAATGCAGGAAAAATGACTAGCACCACAATAGCATTTTAACTGTTGTTGTAATGAGTTAAAACAAGCCACGTCTATTTTTCAGTTTAAAAAAATATTACAAGAGAATAACATTGAAAAAAAAAAACAATAGAATAAAAATGAATTAGACAGGCTTGCTTCTGGTGTGGACACTTATGTGTTAATGTTAATTTTAGGAACAGATGTTGTCATTAATGAGTTACATTTGATTCTAAAGTTAAGGGCAGGCATAATAAGCTTTAGCTTCTGCCTGCACCTGGTCATCTAAAGTATTTATGTTTCGAATGTTTTGATGATTTGATTGATTGATTGAATGATCTGTAAATGACCAAACCGAATAAATGAAATGAAACTGCCACTGTAAACGAATACACAAGGTTGTTGACATTATCAACATGTAATAGCACAACAGACTTATGATTTGGGAAAGCTGTTAATAATTGGCCTGTGCCGTCTATTTATCAACTGAATCATTTTAAAGAAATGGATTTTAAATGCAGTCGTCGGGACCTTACTTGTCCTGTGGCCAAACTATTAACGATGCAAGTGTTACTACTACCTTTGGTGTTTGCTACCTTGTGATGTACCAAACTCACAAGGGTACAGAAGGTGCCTGTGCTTTGAAAGCTATTGCCACAATGAGAACAATTCTCACACACTGTACACACATGCAGACACAAATAAAACCCTTGCACCCCCCTTGCTTGTGACTTTCCATAATACTTGCCTATATATAAGGCAGGACAGCAGTCATGTTTGACAACACACTCGTGTGAGCTGATGATGGAAATTTACAAGTATCTTGCATGACATGAAACTAGAGAGTTTCATTCATGAATGACCCCTCCCAACATAAAACCAGTAGGACAATGGTCACAGCAAGGTCATTGCTCCACATATTTCTCATGAAACTTTGTAACAAAGCTATAACAGAAATCCAGTAAATAAGAGGGACAGAGTCAAGGTCAGGGCTAATGTCGGGGGTTCTTGTTAAGTGACACTTAAGATAATGTTTTGCAACAAAGAATATCATGAGGTAAAAGAGAGCAGTGAAGCTTCAAGGCTCCCCATGCGAAATACAAATAAATAATCAGTTTCAGGTTGACATGTACTTGTGCAAACAAGAAGAAAAGGATCTCTGGACTGATTTTGAAATTGGTCATTTTGTCCTAGACAGGTAAACAACACCCAGGACTGAACATTTCAACCAATTTAGATGAACCAAAATCATCAAAAAACCTATTTCTAAGATCATATCTTGAAGAAAATATAAACAAATCAACTTCAGAATGATTATTATTATTTTTGGAATAGTAACACATAATGTTTTGTTAACATTAATTCACATTCCTGACAATGAAAAAATATTCTAAAGCATTTATTAATCTTAGTTAATGTTAATTTCAACATTTAATCTTGATAGGGAAAGTTTGATCTGTTAAAACTGTTTAATACAACCTGAGATAACATAAACTAACAATGAACAGCTGTATTTTCTATTAACTCTAACGTTAACAAAGTACAGTAATGCCAACCAATGAGACCTTATTGTATCAAACACTTTGCATTTGAACAAAATATTAACCCCATTTAACACGAAACACCTTCTGGTTTATGATAATCTGAACCTAATTGGAGAAATAAAGCACTGCTTCTGCTCACAAGATAAAAAAAATGTCTTTCCAAAGCTGTCTGTGACACTCAAATGAAAACACTCACTCTTATCTAATCTTCTGTTGACACACATTGATTAGTGTGTGAACCTGAACTCGGCCTGTAGCCTATTTAGTGTATATATTTATGTTATAATGTTATGTTGTTGGATGCCCCCTTATATGTAAACAGTAAAATTACATTCTCCACGTGGCATGTCATAGCCTACAACTCTCCACACTAAAAAAATCTATAATGGTTCTTCTATGGCATCGGTGCAAAAAAAAAAAAAAAAAGATTCTGAAAACTTTATTTTTAGTGGCCCAATGACCCAAATGACATTTATCTGAATGCATTGTTGAATGGAAACCAAGCGCAACCTTTGATGACTAGTTTCCTTATGTCAAAAAGTGTACAAATACCACGTTCCAAACTGTTGTCTCATACATGATGATGAAACAGACTCTGTCCCCCTATGCATGTTTCAAAAACCTTTTCTTTACAATTTGACACTTAGCATGTTGACGTCACGGCCCTACCCCAGAATCAGCTATGCATAGGGTGAAAAATCATCCGAGACGGAAGAAGGAGGGGTTTGTGCGGAGCTAGATGAATGACTGTTGGAAGGGGAGGAGTATATTGACTCAGTTACTACTACACCCGGCTGATACAACGATCGGTAGAAACCGGTTGATCCCAAAGAAAACGGTTTACGCGAACAGAATCAATGTTTTATCTCATCTTTTAAAGCCGCTATAGCTTCGATTTCTTCTTTTGTCAATATTATTCAGTAACAGGGACTCGTAGGAGATTTTAAACGTCAATCTTCAAGAACGAGATGGCAAGAGGAGAGGGGGCAGAGCAGTACTCTAATGCAAGTCTCCTGCAAAAACCCAGCCCAGATGAAATCAAATTGGCAGTAAAGGTAAGAAACTGAAAATAAATGATGCCTTCATTCAGTTATAAGTGTATTTGCAGCCCACATATTTCCCAAGATTTCCCGGTTCAACAGCCACGTAGGAGCGGCGGCTCGTGCTAGATGTTACGTGTCATTTTGTCACGATAAATTGAGCGCGCACGCCCAATCGCGAACATATTTGAAATGATAACGTTGCCACTTGCCAGTAATCAAAGATTTTAGAGTGATTACACATAAATTATATTATATTCCATACAAATTATAAATTGTTTGTTGTTTTGTGATTTTATTACACTCCATTGCTCGTTTACATAGGCTACTAGACCGGCGTCAGAGTTTAAATGGGAGTCGAGTCGACGATGTTTGAATATCTGCGCCTCGAACGGAACTATTTTTAATCATAGCCTGTTGGGTAACGCGCATTTTTTTTTTTAAGAAAGAAAGTAGTTTGTGTGTTAATTTCCCCTAAATCCAATGTATCAGAAAATTATGAAATATAGTGAAACTAATTAAGAGAGGGGAAAATATTACAATTGAATTATTTTAATTGGTTGATTCTGGTTGGCCTATTTTTGTGCACTACTATGCAGCTCTATACCACTTCACTAAAATATTTTAATGATTTTATTGCAAAAAACTCCCAATAATATTATAAATACAAATTTAAAAACTCAGTTTCCTGTCTAAAAAGTGCATAGCATCATCTCAAGCTTTCAATGCTTGAATGTACACTTCAACCTTGCTTCATGCAAACATTATTTTGGGGTTTGCATAGATTTTTAATAATTCAATTATTTGTCGTCAATTATTCCTTACTTAAATTCAAATAAAGCAATTGGTCTACCAATCAACAAAATGTAAACATTTGGGTTTGTCACATTATTTATCCCAAATGGATCAAAGTCTAGATCTCACATGCCACATCATCAGAATGAAAAATCATACTTGTATGATTTATTGGGTTGTTGGTATGTGATGACTTTATTGCTGTAAAACGTGGTTTGCTTTTATGGCTGAATGCTGATGTAGATTAACTAAATGAGTCATATAGTTGCTGCAGTCCAAAAGCAGCTGATCTCTCTCCGACCCATTTTGTGTCAAAACGTCATGTAAATTGAGAGTGGCTCTTGTCTTAATAGCTTATCCTGATTATTGCAAAGATGAAAGTGAACATGACATGAGAGGATGGCATCACAGTTTCTAATGATTGGTATCTTGAGAAAATTTCCTGTTCAAATGCATTTCTATGTTTAGTAGTGTCAAAACAAGACCATTGAGTGTTTACCCCAAAACTGTCTAGGCATCACAAATGAAGCAACATGCAGTCCAGAATTAATGAAAGCCCCAGTCACATAACAAGCCAACAAATCCTCTATTAACAGCCCTTAGTGAAGTAACACAAACAATCATTCACTGTTTCTACTATGTCAGCTCTGTTGCACTGTCAGTCAGTTGGTTCTTCCAACCACAAGACCGTAATACAGCGTCTTCATTTACACTGGAGTGTGAAGATTGTCTTAGTGTACTTTAACATGAGTTAAAGGCTTTATGGGAACACCTTCTGGCATGTGCAATAAAGCCAAAGATAGTGACTTATGATCTGCACATTCAAACTTTAATGGTTTATTTTTGGAGGATACATGTGACAGACAGTCAGCTGTTAGTAACTGACTTATGTATTTGAAGTCACCAAACTGAATGAAGACCACATCCTCATTTCTTGATAAATGGGCTCAAATTTGAAGTAAATTACTATCTCTGAGACTTTTGTAAATTGCTCATCTGCCGTGAGTTGTTAGAACGCCTCCTATCTCATCTCATATCTTGACCCAAATATTAGAAGCTACGTGGCTGTATGGCGAATGAGGTTATGTTTGGATTAGGACCAAACAGCAAGTCAAGCAGAAATGCATAGTATTAGCATAATTGAATCCGGCGCTTGTCTCAAAGTGGAAACCATAGCCATTCTACAACTTACGCCAAATTACAAGCGTGTCTGGCCATAGTGAGCCTATTTACACCACAATTAGGTCAGTTTAAATCCCAATTGAGAGACGGTGAACTCTGTATGAACTTCATGAATTCATAATCCCTATATTTTGAATTATTTGGATGTTTTTCATCTTGTTGTTTCTTCTTTTTAATAATAGCATGAATCAAAGGGGCGGTTGTCGGTGTGCAACAAGTTGTGTTATGCCATTGGAGGAGCACCATATCAGATAACAGGATGTGCAATCGGCTTCTTCCTTCAGATCTACCTGCTGGACGTTGCTTTGGTGAGTACTGTAGTCAAATGCATTAAAGTAGCCGTTGCTTTCTTAAAACCATTATTTACATTGGACAAACTATTAATTAAAGGAGATTTATGTAAGAAATTTATTTCAAATAATCATAAAATGGCCCTGATATGTCACTAGACATTAAGAAATCATGTTCATTTCAAATACTAATATCACTGACAACATTAGTCCGGCCAGGATATTGTCATTTAAAAAGTGAAGTTGCAGCCCTCAACTGTCATGTTGTGTTTTGGTCTGATGCTCCACCGATCTACCAATCACGAAGTCAGTAGTGTTGCAGCATTCGGGTTGCCAGCTCTTCTCTAGTTACCACAGCTGCAGCTACAAAAGTGTCGGACAAAAAAAATTTTGGATCCTACGGCCTATCTGGCAACCTCGAGTCAGGGGGGAGGGGGAGGGGATACACTGCTCTACAGTAATTTGAATCTGATTGCAGTACCAGTTTTGGCCACAATCTTACATACAGCTCCTAAAATGAATCTAGCTTTGAATATAAGTTTTCATCACATCAAATGTTACTTCAAATGATTTACATCCCCACCTCAGAGGTCTTGATGATTCTCAAGTTTATACAACAATTAAAATCAGTCAAAGTCATGATATAATTTTTCTGTTAATTTGTTTTAAATATATATATATATATATATATATATATATATATATATACAGGTATATTAATGTATTTACTAGTTAAGCACAATATTTAGCTGGAAGTAAATAATAAAAATGACATCAACAAATAAATGAAAATTGCGATTTTATTTATTTGAATGTTATGAATATTGTTGTGTATTGTCCCTACATTTATCAAAAAAGCAAACAAATAGAAAACAAAATGGCTAATATGATAATTAGTTGACCTCTTTAAACATGCTGATCAACATCTTCTGAAGATGAGCGTCACTTTTTTTTTTAACAGCCAGATTGTATTTGAATTTGAAGAGTTTAGATGCAAAAGCCTCTAAGTGCCGTTTGAAATTTTCTTCTAGAACGATCATTTTTACCAAGCTTGTATATTTAAGTTCAGTTATTTCACTTAAATGGTAATAAAGATTACCTATTAATTGTCATTTAAGTGTCATTTAATAACTTAAATATACGAGCTTGATAAAAATGATCATTCTAGAAGAAAATTTCAAATGGCACTTAGAGGCTTTTGCATCTGAACTCTTCATTTGTAGAAAGGGCTTCATAACAAAAGAGCAGGTTGACTTGTAGAACGTATAATCGGACTGCGATCCTCAGGGGGCAGTGGGTTTCATTACAACCCCTGCTCACATAGCCCGAGACAAGTACAGTCACAAAGGAGGAATTGTACTGGAAAATGAATGGTATTTCAAAGGTCTTTCTTGCCATTAACTTTTGGAGGCTACTGTAGTCTTGGCAGGCTGATTGGCCAGATTAAAGGGTCTGAATAGGATTGTTCTAATAGCCTTCAGTGTTTATCATGTAACTACGGACTACAGTAGACAGGTTCCCAGCATGAGTTCTCTTAATGTGTTTAATCCCATAATTAACAGTTATTTCTACAATGCACAATGTCAGCATGAAGCAGTTAGTCTGTGCAACATTTCAGAAGTTGCTGTGGTTCACATAGCCTCCTAAAGAGTATGTTGAGCTATTGTGACAAGTCACATCTTCAACTGATAGTTGTGCATATCTTTTCTTTATCACCAAAACAGACTTTTATTTTTCTAATAAACTGTTAATATATAACATCAGAGCTTTATATTTAAAAAGCCTCAACAGAGCTTTCAATTGCTGTTCTATTTTATTTGTTTAACTGTTTAGTTGATATTTCACCTGTTAGTCTGAGATATCATTTAGTCCTAAAGTTTGTGGAAAAATCTCAACCAGTTATATGTTTAGGTAACATGTTGGTCTTTCTCTTTTCTCAATAGTTGGACCCATTTTATGCCTCCATCATCTTGTTTGTGGGTCGAGCATGGGATGCTATCACAGACCCTACTGTGGGTTTTCTGGTCAGCAGGAGTCCCTGGACCAGATTTGGACGAATGATGCCTTGGTATGTCTTTTTTCATCTCAGTTTAATTGGATTTGTGGGATTTGTAGTCTGTGTGAATTCATATCTTGATGTGACGCATTGAAAAAGACTTGATTAAGGAGCATGTTGCCTGTAGTAACTTTCTACCCTTCTTAGCAAAAAATTGTTTCTCAAGTCTACCCTCCACAAAATCGGTGGCCTCCTTTGTTGCGTATAAAATAGATCCCAAGTGAATCTCTCGGCTCTGTTGCTTGCTTTGTCTTCTAACCCATTTCTAAGTCATTGTGAAATATCAGGAGTTGTATTTTTTAACCGAAAGCGAGAGTGTCTGGTGATGTTTCTAAGTGAGAGGACATTTGTGTGCTAAGGAAAGCCCCCTGAGCTCTCATGGGGGGTTTAGGGGCGTGATGGGCTGAATACATCACAGTGGCTTTGCCTTTGGGACATTTAGCATTTGCAGCCAGCCAATCTGATTTGATTCTACATCACATGCATGACTAAACCACTTTATCAGTGCCCTGACTGGAAACACTTGCCATTCAACAACAAGAAATGGTGTAAATGCTTTTCTTTCTTAAGTGTTACAGCATGCTATTATAGTATATATGGAGGCAAAATGTTCTTAAGAAACCAACATTTGTTATCAAACTACTTAGTTTTTTTTTTAAAGTTTAACTCGATCTGTTACCCGTTTTAGTGTAGTTTTACATGTGTACATTTGTTAATTTTCTGCAAGTTTAATATTAGCTCTCGCAAAAACAAAAATCGCAGTATTTAGACATGACCTGAATATTGGTAAAACAAAAAATTTTAGTTGCGAATAGCAAGTTTTACATCCTGAGATCACTATCAACATTTTCTGAAGATTTAGGACATAGATTCTTGCTCTCTAGAAAATAAAAACCCAAAGGAAATGATGCTTAATCTTGCGCCCACATAAGCATGTCTGCTTTAGAGAAAGCTTGTGGTTCTCTACACATTGAAAGTCTTGTTGGGATTACACAAGAGGAAAATGGGTTTTTGCAACTAATAAAGCAAAATATCAATTTAAAGTCCTCAAACACCATTTTCCCTCTTCCCAACCTCGGACAAATGTAAATAAGTCTAACATTAAAAACACTCCTCAGGATTTCACTTTCTCAGTCTTATTTTTTTTTCATACGATGGTCAGTTTGACTTTGAAGTGTTGCGGTTGCCATGTTCTCGGAAGTAGGTGGTCACTAAATGAATAATTGGAAAACCACTTGAAGGAAGTGCTGGGGATGGGGGTTGGGCTGAGGAATGTGCGTCTGCATTTGAAGGAATCTGGTAGGAACTAGGAAGCTGGTGAAAAAGTTGTCAGAAAGTTCAGTGACATTGAAACTGAGCCAGATGGTTGCATCCTCTTAGGATGGTATCAATAGGAGATCCCTAGTGGCGCACAGATCTGTGCTGTGATGTCACTTGGGGGTGAATGAAACATGTTTGTTTGGGATAGTTATCAGTACATAGGGGAGAAAAAGTCCCCTATCTCTCATGGAAAATGATGCCTCAAGCCTGTATAATTGAATTTCCTCAATGCTTCATCACATGCATTAATATTAGTAGTCACAAACATGTGAGTTAAGCTATCATAATCCCGAAAGGGAATTAATTACAAGGGTTAGTCACGATTTCAACGGTAAATGAAATGACATGAGCTGAAATCCTGAGTAACTGTGAAGAAAATGTAAATATTTCACAAGTCTTTGATAAATTGCAAATGATTATCAGAGGACAGGAACCTAAAAACATCTCTTATCTACTCATGTCTTAGGGATTGAATTATCAAGTGATTTAGCAGATGGCATGATCTAATAATAATAAAGAGACATTTGTTTTGTGTTGCGAGCGAAGACATTCTCTTTTTGTGCCGCATGCCTTGGGGGCTGGGAGGTACATTCAGACTCGTGAGTGGTCCAACCCACAACACACCACCTCTGTCGTCCAATCAGAATGAAGGAAGGCAGACCAGCGCTGCATCAAAGTCTAAGGGCGGGATATTGAGCACTGTGGGGTTATTTTAGTTCAAATGCCAGCCTTACTGGTTGAGTGTGATTTGTTGTTACTATTTTGAACTTTTAACTAGCTGCACCTTTTTGCTACACGTTTGCACTTGAACATTTGGTCTTTGTCTTGCTTTCTGATTTAATATTTTAATGAAAAATACAGATTTATACAAGAAACTCTTGAGAAATAAAACGTATATGCAGTATATTTTTCATAACAATTGAAGGCATGAGACGAAGAACCATACAAGTCCATTTTTTCAAATTTTGAATAATAACGTTTTTTTAATTTGGACTCTGAATATTATATTATTTTAAAAAAAACTTGAAAATAAAGAACAAAAGCTTCACAATTCTAAAGAGATACGATTTTTTAGGATCAATCATAAAAATAAAAAGTTAGAGTAATTTATGTTTCTGGAATGTGGAAGAACAGTATAAGTCCAATTCACCACTATGATTCCTTTATCTTTATTAATTATTGTTTAAATAGATTGAATAATATTATTGTACTTTAGTATTATAGTAGGATAAAATATAGTACTCTTGATTCGGGCCAATATTCCGGGCTTGGAATCGCATAATCATAATCATAATAATTAGATTAGTCTGTCTAATCTAAGTATTGGCAGGGCAAACTTTTTATAATGTTCACGGTTTATTATAATTAGTTTATTATTATTATTATTATCATTTAAGAATATTTTGGTTTTAAGTGAGGCTAAAACTCGATGACAATCGTATCATTGGAAACATTTGAGGTACTAAACATATTTGTGCATTAAATCACAATCGGGGGTGTGACTCAAGTATCAAAGAAACGTAACCCAAACAGGTTTGTGGTGCTGAACATGGGGTAAAAATCTGCAGAATGTGCTTGTACTGCTGTCTATTAGTTACTGATAGCATTATGGAATTAGCATGAATATTTAATAAACCAATAAACGTATTAACTGAAAACAAACATACATTGTGTAATTCTGTGGGCTCTGATTCTGTGAAGGTCTACTCGATAAAACTGCAAAGTGAGGTTGGCTTTTTCCATAAACAATTTTTTTGGGGAGGTGGGAAATAATGTCGTTTTTCTTCTCGGCATGTTGAATCACTCTACCAGGAAAGCAAAGTTCCATGATGCTTTAAAGCCATTTCCTTGCACAGAAATTACTTAAGTATCCTGTTCGATGAACAAAGACCGGACATTATGCAATCAATTGTTTCATCGCTCAAAGTGTTCGGCAGTTGGTGACAACATCATGGTTTTTAGAGCGAAAAGAGAGAACTGTAATAACATGTTTGGTGACAAGTGACGGAAAGCCTCACTTTGTGTACCTCAGCTTTGTTTGTCTCGTAGAACCAGAACCTTGTAGTTTTATTTATAAATTATTTTATTTTATATATCTTTTCCATACAGGATCATTCTGTCTACCCCATTTGCTGTGCTGTGCTATTTCCTCATCTGGTACGTGCCGCCTGTTGACCAAGGCAAGATTGCCTGGTACCTGGTCTTCTACTGCCTCTTCCAAACATTACAGACAGTGAGTAACCATTTTTATACCGACCATAAGTTGTAGCCAGTATGGTTTTACCTAAATGACCCTTTGGCATCTTCTGTTTCCCCCAAAAACAGTGCTTCCATGTACCATACTCTGCTCTCACTATGTTTATCAGCACTGAACAGAAAGAGAGGGATTCGGCCACAGCCTACCGTGAGTTTGAAAGCATCCACAGCGAGCTATATCATCTGGTTCCCATTTGCACGACTAACCGCTTACCCGTTATCTCAGGAATGACTGTTGAGGTTTTGGGCACGCTCATTGGCACTGCTGTTCAAGGTCAGATTGTGGGAATGGCTAACGCTCCCTGTATCAGCTCTGGAGGGGTCCTGAACTCCACAGATGGACAGGTGCCTCCCGATGTCAACATCACTGAGCCTCATGTTTCACTAGAGAGTTTGGTAAGGATTTTTTTTTTTTTTTGAGGTTGACTTAATTTCTTGTTACATTGGTATTACATACCTGGTCTCTTATGGTTCCCACAGAGAAATGCTTACATGATCGCGTCTGGTGTCATCTGCATCATTTATGTTGTCTGTGCCGTGGTCTTGTTCCTTGGTGTGAAAGAACAAAAAGGTAAGTGCTGGTACATTGCAAATATGCCACGGTTTTACTTTTTTTTTTTTCTACTTTTGATGTAATTAAACTTACACAGTCAGTAAGATTTTTAAAAATGTTTTTGAAAGAAGTCTCTTATTACATGGCTGCATTTATTTGCAAAAATACATTGTAATAAGACAATATTACTGTTTTAATTTAAAAGAATGTTTTTTTTATTGAATATATTTTAAAATGAATTTATTCCTGTGATGACAAAGCTGAATTTTCAGCATCATTCGGTGTCACATGATCCTTCAGAAATCCTTCTATGCTGATTTGCTGCTGGATAAAGATAAAGATTTCAAATTATCAATGTTGAAAACCAGTTGAACTGCTCAATACGTTTGTGGAAACCATGATACATGACCCTTTTCAGAATTATTTATGAATAGAAAGTTCAAAAGAAAACCTTTTTTAACAGTTTAAAAATCTTTACTTTTTATCAATTCAATCCTTGCTGAATAAAAAAAAAGTTTAATCATGTGGACCCCAAACTTTTGAATGAGAGTGTAAATTCATCTTTAAAGACCTCTTGAAATCAAAATGTTTAAGGCTTACTTTTCAGCCTTTTAGCTATGAGGTCTTTTAATACAGGGTTGTCGCAGATCCTAAAAAAAGTCTTAAAGTTTTTAAAAATAAGACCATAAAAAGTCTTATTTTTACTTCTGAAATGTCTTCATTTTAGATGACACTTCGACTTAGACATAACTAAATGTTTTCCGACTAATTTGCGTACGTATAATCTTTTATTATTCTATCTTTGTGAATTTGCTTGTTCATGTGACAATTCGCTTCACATTCACGGCAGAATAATGTCTCTGTCCTGCACGCGAGAGAACAAGAAAGTTGGCAAATGTCAGTTCATTCATAAGTTAATTATTTATGTGCGAAGGGGTGTGCGATGTATTATGATATTCTAATAATTGTTTTAATGATGTACGAGGCATTTATCTCGTGTTTTCACTGCGTGATGTGTGCAGTTTTAGGCATAGACATGCATTTATTATGTCCGTGGTTATAGGTCTGTCCAGAAATTAGTTGTTGTCTTACATTTATATCCTATTATGTTCTTATATTAGAATATCACATCAGCAAGAGTGCCATTTTCCCGTGCACAAGTGTGATATTTGTTATACAATCGATTTTGTCAATATTGTATGGTATTAATTTTGATTTCTTTAGCCTTAAATTTGACTTTAAAAAGTGTGCAGGAACCCTGTAATATGCTTGCAAAAAAGTTGACTACCATATTTAAAATTTTTATGCAAAGTTTAAATGCAGGATATCGACCAAACATAATGGCTTTGATGTAAGCTAATTTTTTATTAAGGGAAACTATCACTTCACTTCCTCATCTCTGACCCATACTGAACCAACAAGTTTGTAAACTGTGCTCATCAAGCACTCCCATGCAGTTGATAGCAGCTGTTCTTTTCTACACTGATCGGGTTACTTTGAGTCAGTAGCTGTCCCACAAGCAGAGCTCAGCATGGTCCCAGGGAAATGCCAGTGAATAAGCTTAGCAGGGTTATTAGCTTTCACAGCACAGAGAAACGTCTAAATGTGGCGCATGTTAAAAGAAGGTCATATTGGTGATCTCCAGAGTAGTTTATTTTGAACCAAAATACTGAGCAGGCCTATGTGAAATGTTGTGGGGAAAGACAAGCACAGTCCTGACTTATCATGCGTCATGCTCCTGGAACATGGATCAAAAACGACTAAACAACATTCTTTTCCTGGGCGGCTTATTTTGGCAGCTAACCGACATGTACACATTGTGCGCACCAATAATCTTTGTTTTTACTCTTTAATAGGCTAAAACCTGAAAATTGTTTGGGGGAACGCATTTGTTGTAGCACCATTAATTGCCATTTGTTTGATTTGGTGCCTCTCTCTTCTTTTTAACAGAGACCTGCAGGGTTAGAACTGAGCCCATGTCATTTTTCCAGGGCATTCGTATGGTTATGGGCCACGGTCCATATGCAAAGCTAGTCATGGGCTTCCTCTTCACCTCTCTGGCCTTTATGGTGAGTCTTTGCGCAAATGATTGAGCCGTGCAGCCATTTTGGTCGTTTAAACGGTGACCGCCTTAGATGAGCACTGTTAGCTTTGGCAAAACTTAACAAATAAAGAGTTTGCCAATGTGTCTTACAATGCAGCTTATTGTGTCTATAAATATTTCTTGCAGTTTTTAGAGGGAAACTTTGCACTATTCTGTAGCTACACCCTGGGCTTTAGGAACGACTTTCAAAACATCCTGCTCGTCATTATGGTAAGCATTATAAAAGGCTCAGTCTTTTAAAATGTGTTTTGAATGTGCTTTTTGACTGACAAGAGTTCAAAAGGAAATATCTTAAAATGGGTCCATTATGTGATGCAGTTTGCGGTATACAAAACCTATTTACGCTGTTTATTGGAATAGACTAGAATTTCCAGATCTACCCCTTAACCAACTTACAGCTTGCTGTTTTACCCATGAAATTACTCTATCGCAGAAAAGTTTTCAGTTTGAGGAATAAAAAAAGTGTTTATCTAGTAATGGAGAACAAGAATATCTTTTGTTCATACACTTTTGTCCTTGACTGTTTAAAACCCAGATTCATGTTCAATAAGAGAGAATTATGGTAGTCATGTCAAACCCAGTCTTCTGACTTTTTATGTTCCCCCTGACTGCAATAATCCTCTTTCAGAGGCTCTGAACTGAACTATGACTGAGAATGCATGAATAGTATGTTTTCAGGCATTGTCCTTCACCCAACACTTTAAAAACAGAGTTGTAATGTTGTGTTGTGTTTCATGAGGAAGCATTCTTGTTGATGGGAACCTGTATGAACAAAAGATATGTACTTTTTCCAGAGATAAAATTTTAGCTAAAGCTTTGTTTATGCGCATTATCCATCTTGCAGTGCAGTGTGTTTACTGTACTTGTAAATAAATAAACATATGTAAGATTAACATACATTTTTTATTACATAGTTCGATTGCCTTCCTGTAGCTCAAACAGTAGGGGATGGCAAGATCATGGGTTCGATTCCCAGGGAATTCATTCATTTTTAATAGTTTTATTAACCATTTTTTAAATTTATGAATGTAAATGTGAATCGGGAAGATTGGAATTCTGTTAAACTGTTTGACATTATTATTATTATTACTTAGAAACAAAACTGAAGCAGATTTGTAAAAAAATATTAAAATTAGTGGTTGAGCATAAGACCGATGGTCTAATATTTAGGGCTAAATTATTATTTTTTATTAGGCATCGTTTGATCTAAATCCTTTTTTTAAATCTTTATTCATATTTTTTATTTAAATTTTTATTCTAATTTAGTAAATACATAAGATGACAAACATTTGTCCACCAAATCAACATGTGGTTTGACCAACATATAAAAAACAAAAAAAAAACAAACATAAAACTGGAAGCGATATCGTAGATCGAGATTCGGACCCCTGCAGAATCAGATTATTTTTTTCAGTCAACCAGTCTCTTAAAATATCACATAATTTGAACTTTTATAACAAAATAGTTCAAGCTGTAAAGTGTTATCTTTAATGCATTCATGATTTTTTATGCTTATTTCATGGTTTTGTCATCTACTTTTTACCTTGAAAAATTATGATTAATTATGTCACTTAGTGGGAGGGAAGGGTTATGGAAAAAAAGAAAAATTATGAGGGTGTGTACACTTGCATGTATTGCTGTATTAAAAGTCTGTTGGAAATGCTATAAATCAAAACCAAAGGAACTTAAATAGAATGTTTTAAACAAAATGTTCAAAAGATTGTCCCTTCTTTTTTTATCCAGCACACTCGTTGAGACAATTCTATTTTAATTTCCTCTATTTTAGCTCTCCGCCACACTTGCCATCCCATTTTGGCAATGGTTCCTCACGAAATTTGGCAAGAAGACTGCTGTGTATATTGGGACTACAGTAAGTACACAAACCTTAACTTGACCCATCGTCTTGACATCTAACCGAAAACTTTTTTTGATTCCCGTTACTGACTGTTAAAATTTCTCTTTACAGTCAGTGGTGCCTTTCCTGGTCTCTGTAGTCTTGGTGCCAAGCAGTCTTTATGTGACATACATAGTGTCTTTTGCGGCTGGAGTCAGTGTAGCAGCGGCTTTCCTTCTTCCCTGGTGAGTACCCGATGATTATAAAATGCTCAAAAAATAGACGCGTACGCTTCCAAATTTGATGCACAGTATTCATGCATGTTTTCTATGTGCTCAGGTCAATGCTTCCCGACGTCGTGGATGATTTTAAAGTCCAAAATCCGGATTCTCAAGGCCATGAAGCCATCTTTTACTCCTTCTATGTATTCTTTACCAAGTTTGCATCTGGTGTCTCATTGGGGGTCTCAACTCTTAGTCTTGAGTAAGTTTCCACACAGGCTGTTAAAGTTGGATTAGAGTCTGCATGATCGAAAAAGCCTGTTTCATTTACTTTTACTGTATGAGAATAAGTCTATTCTCCTGACCTTCAGATATAATGTGATTAGTGCCTCTCTCTTATGGGTCTTTTGACACTGGAGGCCGTGACCACGTAGGACAGTGTTTCATGTGAGATTCAGTGCTCAGTCATGAGGTTGGATTTATCTGAACGAACATTAATAGCGTGCTAATCTCTCGTTTCTCTTTGAAACAGTTTTGCCGGCTATGTGACGAGAGGTTGCACGCAACCCGCCGAGGTCGATTTAACCTTAAAGATCCTGGTGTCTGCCGCTCCTATAGTCTTTATCGTTATCGGGCTGCTAATATTCATCTCCTATCCCATCACTGAGGAAAAGAGACAAGGCAATCGGAAACTTCTTAATGAACAAAGGTAAAACCATCTATTGAATCGATCACATGTCTTGCTTACAAGCTAAGCCAGCTCAACATTCTTGAAATATTTATTTTTACATGGTACTTTTAAAACTCTAAAGCTGATTAAATGGTATTCTTGTGCTTATTTTTTACAATATTTTTGGCTGTGACCCATTGATTTTGCCTAACTTTGTCCTGTGACTTTTTTTTCTTTTTTTTTTCAGAGAAAATGAGATTGACTCAGAAGCAGACTCCACTGAGCTCAATGTAGTTTAATAGCAACAGAGTCCTTGACGGGACATTGTGCCATTTGTGTCGGACCTACAGAGCCAAAACGAACCGAGCGGATGCTTTGAACCAACCAGGCTGCCTTATGGCTGCCTACCAGCTCAAGTTCAAAGTGCCTTGCCATTTCCAGTCGCAAGTGCTAATGGACGCTAGTAACGTTGCATAAATCCGAAGGGTTGGCTTCTGTGTATTTGTGCTGCTCTCTGGCATAGTATCTCAAAGCAAACTGCCAGCTTTTTGAAAAGCACACATATACTGCACTAACAAAACAATTCCGTCAAACACGTCTATACCGTGAGAAGAAACTTGAAACATTTAGAAAGGTTTTTAAGGTGCTAAAACCAAAAATGCATTTCAGACATAATTGAAAGGTACTTTTTGGAAGGAATTTACGATGTAAGTAATATTTGTATGTAATTTAATATTTATAAATACTTTTGTGCATCTAACTGAATATACAAACTTGAAACCATGAGACCTAAATGGGTTTGATTACATCAAACTTTAGAGGTGTGCACAAAGGGTTATTGTTTATTTCTTGTATTACTTTCCTTTGCGTACACCTTCAATTATGTTCCTTTTTATGTGTTTCTGCTCTTGTGGGGCATACAGAGCTCTTTTAGTGGGATGTGCTGAGGGATAAACTTACAAATTTGTTCCCTCAACGCTTCAGATCAGAAGATCTGATTCGATTAATTTCTGGATGGATCAGCTAAAGTGTGAATGAATGATACAGCTGACAACTGAGGCAGTTAACCAGCTGGAGAGTGGTGTTAAAATGTGTGATGTGAACAAGATTATTTAAGTATTTATTACTTTTGTTTTAAATCATATGTTGGTTTGGTCACGTATGTTTCTCCCCTCTTCCTTAATTTATCTTGTTTAAGGGTCTCAGTCAGTAAAATAAGGGCAATTAGAATAATTGTCACTGCTGAATTATGTCTAATATGCCATTAATTCCTATGGAAAAGCCAATCAGTGTATTTTATAGGTGACACTGCTGTTTGTTTAGTTGTTAAATTAAGATGATTTCTGCCTGCTCTGTTCGTTTAGTCGGTGTCCTTTTGATTTTCTGTTTAGTAGTTAGCAAAATTGCTTTAATTATTGTATAGTTATAATAAATGTCAGTTCACTGCCTGTAAATTTGGTGTCAAAGGTTTGAATGCCAAGTGTTTCTCTACCATGTGATGTGATATATGTACATAGACCAGCTGAAAATATGTATTTCTACCTGGGGAAAATGGAATTACTTGTAAATAACATTTGTCAAGTGCCGTATGTTATACATATGTACATATGATGATGCACTTTGAAATATCATCAGTGCATTTTTTTTGGATGTTAATACCATTGTCTTACACCTGTCAAAACTGTATGCATCTGTGACATTTCTTTATGGTATTAATTAACACCAGTTTGGGGTGATATTTTGATATTTCCATATTCTGGTATCAAAAATGACAGTTATTGTATATAATAAATGTGCTGATGTTTGTACATAGATTTCTTATTTCTTTTTGTTAGATGGAATTGTTATAAATGTACATGTGTGTAGTTCTTTAAAGGAAATGTTACAAAAAATGTCTGTGAATAAATACTACCACAATTAATATTCAAGGATCATTTCCTTTTTTCTTTAGGGTTACTCTTACTAAAATTAACCTTGCTTTTTACAACAAATAAGACGTAAAAACCACGGTAACCACAAATTTGTTTGATGGCGCCACACTAACCATGATTTAACTCATATTTGCAGTCAAAATGCTTCTACAAATATTAATCAATCCGCCCAAAACACGTTTCTACACATTTATAACACCACGGTTACACTTAATTTCTTCATAATAACATATAAAACATAAAAACATATAAAGAGAAAGAGGTTGCACATTGTGTGTCTCGTTTCTATAATTTTATCTGTGTGACTAACAATTTTATTTATTTATTTATTTTACAAATCGTAGGAAACCTCTAAATCGCAAAATTAAAAAAAATGTAAATTAGATTTGTAAGCTCTAATACAGATACACAGTCTCATTATTCCGTCATAAAATTGTCAATTTTGTATCTGAAAGAGATCATTGACAGCGGTATCTGATACTTTGTAAAGTAAAGGTCAGTAGCCTAAATCATAAAAATATTTTAATTAAAAAAATTAAAAGCACGAAACGAAAAAAAAAGTCGGAGCGCCCCCTGATGGAGACAGACAGCTAATTGCAATGGATCGCTGCTCGTTGTTCTTCAGTCGATTACTCTTCCTGTTGATGAATAGCTGGGTAATTGATTGTTCAGAGCTGATGCAACACTACCACATTACAAAAATCGTATTTCGGAAAAAGAAAAAAAGCTCAATAATATATTTTAGTTAGACATATACAATATATTCGACAGATATACATCCAGATATTTGTATTTAAATGAATGATGATGCTAACATTTATTCACTGACACATCTGATGGGGCTTTTATTATGAAATACGTGACAAAATCTTGTTGCAACCGGAAAAGCCTGTCACCGGCACACGCTTCTCAGCAACCACCGGTGAGCTTTTTTTATTTTACATGTGATCTTTTGTAATCTATTATTTTCTGACATTACGTGATAATTCTTACATTTTATGCCGATTTATTGCCTGCAAATTGTAGTGCTTTTATCAGTTCTTGAAATTAGACAGCTCATCCATCAGCTATTCATTCATAACTCACGTCACTTTTTTAACGCCAGGCGTAAATAACTGATTCTTGAAAATAACTCTGGCTGCTACCAGAATCACAAGTAGAATTGATATTCGTTATTGACCTGTCTGTTACTCAATCTGAACAGAAGCAGCAGACATCATGGGAGAGCAGCTGAGCCCCGATGAGAAGTTCCAGCTCATCACCAGGAACCTTCAGGTGAAAAACAGTAAAGCACTATCTGGAATCTTGTGTTTGCTTTGAGATTCTTAATCCTCAAAACATATTTAAAGCGCTCCTATCATCATAGCATTTGAAATGTTCTTTTTTTTTTTTTTTTTTACTTTTGGGAATTCCCAAAAACAGTTTAACGTGCATACAAGGATAAAAACACTTTATTTGTCTTATAATATGCATTTATTTTTTACCTGATTTGCTCAACGACTCCCAAATGATTCGTTCGACGATTCATTTTCCCAAACACCTCCTTTGAGTGACGCGAATCTGCGGCGATTGGTCAAATGACCCAGTCAGTTGTTATTGATAAGGCATCATAGCTTGTCAAGTGTTGAAAATTGTATACAGTGTATGAACAAATGTGTCAGAAAAAGTGCATTTTTCGGCGAAACTCACATTGCGGCGGCTTTTGAGGGGCAGTGCTTATTATATATAGCAAAAATACGGAAAATTAAGCTTGTGAAACATTGCTAGCCTTGCCTTTTTAGCGGCAATGGGGTTTAAATTACTTTTGGCTAAGTCGTTTAGGAGGTAATTGCCATTTTTTTTGTGAATATCTGGGGAATATCAAAAACAAAACTAACTTTACCCCGCTTAGAAGCTGCGCGGAGTGTACATAACACACACACACAACAAAATATAACTATATTGTGCATGCTACAGAAAACATTACAGCAAACATTAATAATAATACTTACAGATTAATTCGGAGGACGACGAACCTGATACTGGATACTAAGCCCTCCTTCGGGAACCACCGGCTTGCGAATCCACATTTTGATTCATTCATTTATGTTTTTGAATGATTCGTCATTAAAATGACGAGAAGGTTCGGGCGTATCGTTGCAAATATTAAGTCTAACCACTGATTCTTCACATGCTCGTCCCTGGGCAATGAAAACAAGTGGCTGAACTGTCTTTGCAATGTAGAACACAGCGTCTCCTCGACATGATGCTGTTCAGCTGAAGTATTTCAATCAGAGATTTGAATGTGTTGCCAGGTCCCAGAAATATTTCAAGCCCAATGACAACTCAAAATCCGCCCAAATGGAATGAAAACTAGCCCAATGACTCAAAAACAATTCATTTCATAGACTCAGAGTCGACTCTCACTTTTGAAAGACTTGAACTTTATATACGGTGTACTTTCAGATATAAATCTCTGCTGGATGTTTTCATTGACTTAGAGCTATATTCCACACTACATGAATATTCATTTTCAAAAATCCATGATAGGGGCTCTTTAACACTTGAAGTAGCATTATATGAGGCATCAAAGCTATTTCTGTTATTGTTTTGAAGAGTTTCCTTTGAAAGGTTTCTGATTTTATTTTTACATGTGCCACCATGGAGTCCCAAACTGGCAAACAAAAAGTAAAACCAATGAATATATATATATATATATAAAGTAATGTAATAGGAAAATAAATATAGGATTAAATGTTTTATTTAATAATATAACAGTTTTGTTTAATTTAATTCCATTTAATCCTGAATTAATTTTTATATTGCTTTTTGTTTTACTGTTATTATTTTCTGCATGTACTTCTTAAATTTATTTTTTATTCTCTTTAACTGATATTTATTAAATATATATATTTCTCCATTTAGTTAAGAAAAAAGTAATTAAAAAAATTCTGAGTTAAATATCATCCATCCATTCCATACTTAATGTTTCTGCTACTGTTGTTTTCAAAGGAGGTTCTTGGTGAGGACAGGTTGAAGGAGATCCTGAAGGAGAGGGAATTGAAGGTTTACTGGGGAACAGCGACCACAGGAAAACCCCATGTGGCTTACTTTGTCCCCATGTCAAAGATCGCTGACTTCCTGAAGGCGGGCTGCGAGGTTTGACTTTGCCCTTCTGTCTTGGTTCTGAATTACTGTTGTCCGCATATCTCTGGTGTGTTAACCTATTTGTGAATTTGTTCTATAGGTGACCATACTCTTTGCTGATCTCCATGCCTACCTAGACAACATGAAGGCTCCCTGGGAGCTGCTGGAGCTCAGGGTGCAGTACTATGAGCAGATCATTAAGGCTATGTTGGAGAGCATTGGAGTTCCCCTCGACAAACTCAAATTTGTCAAAGGCACAGACTTTCAGCTCAGCAGGTAAACACTCCTCTTTGTTTAAATACTGTACATCAAACAACTACATCGGATGATAATCGACCAAGAACATGGTGTTTATAGATATTCCAAGCATTGTAATAGTTTTACTAGGGGTGTAACGGTACACAGAAGTCACGGTTCAGTGAGTACCTCGAAACGATTCGAAAACTTTGACGGTTCGGGACAAATACATGTGCCGTTACACCCATATTCATACATTATGAATGTATATAAAGAAAGTAAATTGAAATTACAATGTCTTTGAATGATTGATGTACAATAGAGAGTACACTCTGGATGTTTACCGACTGTCATCCGTGGTCACCGAACATGATGCAAAGAAAGCAGGGGCCGAGGTGGTCAAACAGGTTGAGCATCCTCTTCTGAGTGGTCTGCTGTATCCTGGACTACAGGTATGCAGATTGTCTTTTGCTAACCTTTTTTCCATATGAAATAAATGTTTTCATTTTTAATATTGCAATAATCCTTCACAATATTTTACTGAATTTTTGATCACATGAATGTATTCAGTAATTCTGGGTATTTTGTACTCCTATTTAAACCTACATTTTGTAAATAGTGGATGACCTTTTAGTGTTCTATTCATTATTCTGATTTGCAGCCTATTCCAGACACTTGATGTTGTTGTTTTTTATTTCCATCAGGCACTGGATGAGGAGTTTTTAAAAGTAGATGCTCAGTTTGGGGGTGTGGATCAGAGGAAGATCTTCACGTTAGCAGAAAAGGTAAACTTCTTTAACTTAATTTGCTTGCAGTATTTCTTATACACTGTATTTTACTTTAGTGTGCCAGTAGGAAATAGAAAATCTCACTGTATTATTACAATATTTAGAATGTGATATTTCTACACGAAAGCAAAACATAAGTAACGGTCATAAAACAAATGTTTTTCTGAAGCATCTAATATGCCTAGACTTTTGCATCGTGTATATATATAGAAGTTGGAAGGGCCAGGCAAGGCCTTCTACCAAGCTGTTGTACTGTTTTGATGACTCTGTACTGATCCCCATAAATATGTGTGTGGGCATATGGCGTAATTGATAGGTATATTTTCATTGTTGTTGTTTTTTTACCTTCTTCTTTTGCAGTACCTGCCCTCACTTGGGTACACCAAACGTATCCACATGATGAACCCAATGGTTCCTGGACTGACTGGGGGCAAGATGAGCTCTTCTGAGGCGGTACGCTACCATCTACAACAAGATTCATTAAATCAAAGATTCCTATTTATTTGACAGGATGGCATAGTGTGCTTAGCTGTTGTATGTCGTATTGATTCAACAATTTCATGTCTGACATCAGGAATCCAAGATTGACCTGTTGGATAAGAGCCAAGAGGTGAAGAAGAAGCTGAAGAAGGCATTCTGTGAGCCTGGAAATGTGGAGAATAATGGCATTCTGTCCTTCGTCAAGCATGTGATTTTCCCGCTGCATTCAGGTGAGCTCAGGCACCAAACAAATCTGTAGAAAATATAAACCTCTAGTTAAGAGCTTAATGACATGGGGTTGTTTTTTTTCAGAGTTTGTGATTAAAAGAGATCCAAAGTGGGGAGGCGACAAAGTCTACACTGACCATGAGGAAGTGGAGAAGGACTTTGCTGCAGAGGTATCTGAACAGTCCTTATCTTTTCTATTTCATGTACAAATAAATAACACCCTCGCATATGTTCATCATATGTTGACCCCTGCACTGCTTGTACCTGCAGCAAATCCATCCTGGTGACCTGAAGGCTTCAGTAGAGTTGGCTCTTAATAAGCTGTTGGACCCCATCAGGAAGAAGTTTGAAACCCCTGAGTTGAGGAAACTGACAACATCAGCTTACCCAGAGCCCTCGAAAAACAGTGAGTGAAAATACAGTCTAAAAACATTTAGGACACAATCGTCATCCATTGTGATCCCATTTAAAGGGATAGTTCACTTTGAAATTCACTTTTGGTATGTTTTAGCTTACCTCAAGGGCATCCAAGATGTAGGTGTTTTTGTTTCCGCAGTAGTTTCAATTTTGATATTTTTAGGTCAAACTGTTCTTGTCAGTCATATAATGGAGGTCTATGGTCACCACCTCAAAGAGCACGCACAGAGAAGTCCAAATTAAACATGATTGAATGACTCGTAAATGTAAGTACACATTGATGGCCTAAGACACGAAACGAGCGGTTTGTGTGAGAAAACGAACAGTATTTATATCGTTTTTACCTCTTGTAACCACAGCAACAACAATATAAATACTTTTCGTTTTCTCACACAAATCACTCGTTTCGCATCTACTAATTCTCTGTGGATGCTCTTTGAGGTGGTGACCATAGACCTGCATTATATGACTGACAGACAAGAACGGTTCAGCCTAAAAATGTCAAAATTGAAACTACTGCGGAAACAAAGACCTACATCTTGGATGCCCTTGAGGTAAGCTAAAACATTTCAAATATTAATTTAAAAGTGAACTATCCCTTTAACAAAAAAACCAAACAAATTGGAGCTTTTTCAAGCTTTCGTATGAGTTTAATTGTCATTGCTTCACAGAAGGAGGAGCGAAGAGCAACCCTAAACAAACCGCAGATGAGGAGGAGGTCATCCCATCCAGATTGGACATCAGAGTAGGAAAAATCATCAGTGTAGAAAAGGTAGAGATGGCCACCAATAATTTTACGATTTATTTTTCCAATAAGAGGATGTTCGAATATCCCTTTTTTCTTTACCTGTCAGCATCCAGATGCAGAGTCGCTATATTTAGAGAAGATTGATGTGGGGGAGGAACAGCCACGGACTGTAGTGAGTGGACTGGTGGCCTACGTCTCCCAGGAGCAGCTTCAGGACCGCCTTGTAGTGTTGCTATGCAACCTAAAGCCTCAGAAAATGAGAGGGATTGAATCCCAAGCCATGCTGCTCTGCGCTTCAATGTTAGTAGGGCTGATACATTGAACTATTTTATTCAATCAATGAAGATTTTCTGATAGTAAAAGTCATCTTGTCTTGATCTTTCTGAATGTGATGGCCTTCAGTGAGGGAGAGCCCAGGAAAGTGGAGCCTTTGGATCCACCAGAAGGATCTGCACCAGGAGACCGTGTTTTTGTAGAAGGTTATGAATCAGGCAAACCAGATGATGAATTGAAACCAAAGAAAAAGGTGTTTGAGAAGTTACAGGTATGCGAGTTTTATATTTTTGTACTTCAACTCTCATTATGGTATCACTGTCTTATTCTTGGTTGTATGTTTATCTCTTCAGGTGGATCTGAAGATCTCAGGCGAGAATGTTGCACAATGGAAAGAGAAAAATCTGATGAGCAAACTAGGACAGATCACCTGTAAAACACTGAAAGGTGGAAATATTAGCTAGACAGTCTTCACCATTTTTCTCAAAATCTTCTGATCTTGATGACAACCCAATATTCCCATGACAATTACACAGTGTCAGGTATTACTCATCATAGCCATCAAAAACTGCTACCTGATAGAAAAACAAATGGCTTACAATGCCATTATTGAATTTTTACTGTTCAATTTATCCATGTCAACCTGTAAATGATATAGTAAAACACAATTACTGGAGCAGAATACATATGGGTATCGTCTGTGCTTTATATCGCATGTATTGCCGTTCAAGACGTTTTACGCATTAAGTTCTGCAATAAATAATCTCATGCTCATTTGTTATAATGACAAATGAAGAATCTTCCAGGAGTTTGTCTGTTGTCCTCAAACTCAGGTCTTCCTGTGGTGCCAGTCTCCATTTGACAATTTTAACTATTGTAATGGTTCAGAAATGAACAATCTATATACACAATAAACTGTAATGAGTAAATATTTTAGGATAAGTTTAGCTGGGTTCACAGGGAAATTTTCATGCAATGTAATATTCAGAACTCATCTGATGTTAACCAAACGCATTGAAATAAACAAATGATTCATAACCATTTTTTCTTTATGGAAATGCAGTTTTTGTCATGGTCTATTGAAAAGAAATATAAAAATATATTAACCTGAAAAAAAAGTCTCCATGTAAATATTAAGAATTAATTCTTGATCAAAGGACATGGGAACTATAACTCATTTGTGTATTTTGCTGTACTGAAAAAGCAGCTTTACTAGAGAACATGAATGAATATTTACATGGTATACATTAACCAGACAAACAAAATATATAGTGGTATGGGGGTGTATACTGTGTGTAATGTATGTATTAATATGTCCAAGGAATTTAAAAACACTCAAAACAGGGTAAATCTATAAATATCTTTTAATATTTATTTTTAAAACAGAAACAGTGTTGTAATTCTATTAACTCCATTGGAAGTAAATAGTTACTAAAGTATATGTATATACTGTATATTTTTACATCAAATTTAGAGGGACCATCAGTCAATACTTTTACTAATTTGCTGGTTCCAACAGAAATGCAGCATTTAGCTTACAAAGTGCTTTAATCTAATGCAAAGTGAATATATAAACGTTTTGTATGTTATATGTTTCAGCCATGGTCAGCATATTTCAGAATTCATAAAGGTGGTTCTGTACACGTATCATTACATATTTGCTGAAAGCTGATTGCAGTAGAACTAAACCTTTCTAAAAATTGTTAGTAGAATCGATCGACTTCTTTCATGAAAGCTAGCACATATTTAGATATGTCAAATTTTTAACAGGATTTGACTTTTCTTTTTGCACCAAGCAGTGATTACTACCACTAGTGACCACTAGATGTCAGTTTAATCTTGCAGTCATTAGCTTTCCAAAGTCCACAATAAACTTAAAGTGACTTTTCCCAGAGCAGAGAAACTCATTTAGAAAAATACTTGAAAGTTTGTAATAAAGCTATTTAAAAAAATAAAATAAAATGGATTGGGGGAGAAAGCTTTTTGCATACATTTGAAGGCCATTATCTGGCTAAGGCTTTTAAGACAGTTGCAGTATCCATGGATCCTTGATCACAATCTTACTTGGGCTTTTATCACTTGCTTTGTCCTCTTGTCTGTCCCAGGCTGTGACTAAACAGTCCAATCAAAACTCAACTCATCCACCATGACTCTTCAACATGCAGTCTCTGTACTTCCTGAAAAAGAAATGTAATTATAATGATCAACATGGTTCCATCTGTATTTCATGCACAAATTGAAACAACCCGTGAATGCTTCCTTACTTGGTTGCTCTTGTCTCCCTAATGATTGTGCTCGCTGGCCAGCAGGATGCACTGGATCACTTTGCCCATTAACTTCAACTCTCGTTATTTGTTTATTTGTCAAGATCTCGGTCTTATCCGGAGTTACGTTCTCCGTCTTGTTGGGAGGATTTGTTCCATGCACTGGTTTCTTAGCAACAGGTGGCGGCACCTTAATTGCCTTTTTTGTTCCATTAGTAATCATCATCTTGGCTTGGTCGGAAATATGCATTATCTCCGCTGCAAGACTCTGTTTGAGGCTTGCTTGGACCTCAGGTGAAGAAGGTGTTTCAATGATAACTTTTTTTGTGCTTTTGGAGAATATAAAACTGGCTGTCGATGCAGGGGACTTATGCAAGTCACAGCCGTCTGGTGTTTTAGGGGATGGCACGGGTGAACTAGCAGTGCTAGTTGAGGATAAGCGTAGATTGAGCATTGCGGGTAGTCCACTGGACGACATAGCAGCTGTCTTCATTCGTATAGCCTCTTGGAGACACATGGATGGGACCGTGGGTGGAGCAGGAGAAGGCTTAACGGGCGAGTTGGACTTCAAAGCCAAGGATTTGCGAATAGGCTTTTGGGGTGTTGGTTGACTAGTAAAACTGTGATCCTCATTTGTTGTGGTCTCAGTATCATTGTTTATTTGATCTTCCCCAACATTTATAGACCGTAGTCGCACCATTTGAAGCAAGGAAGGTGTGACAAGTGGTATGTTTGCATCTTCCTTTGGAATAGGTGTGCTTTTGTGTCGACACAACAGTTCTTTGCTCCGGTTGTCTTTGTTTACAAGGCTCAGATGCCTTCGTAAGTTAACTGCAGATTGGTTTTCCACTGGTGCGAGTGGCACATCTGCTTGGCTTTCAGATGATGCATGCTCTGATGAATCTTCCCCTTGTACAAGTTCATCCGGTAATAAAAAGGACATTTTAGGAGAGGCTACAGTTGTGTTTCCAATGCCAACTTGGTCCAATGAGAAGTCTGATACATTATTACAAGGCTTATCTTGTTGTCTCCTCTCCATACCATTTTGTACTGTTCTTTCTGGGAGAATGGTATGTATTTCTGAGTGTTGGTCTGGACTGCTGTCCACATCCGAGGCATTAGATGACACAAGTTCTGTATTAGATTGCTGTTCACATGATTCTTCATGGGAATTGACCAATATCTCTGAAAGGGGTTCATGCATGAACGAAGGAGGCGGTGGGGGGAAGTCAAGTTCGTCTTGTTCCTCAAACATCAAGTCAGAAGACTCTTCCATTGGTGGTGGTGGTGGAGGCCAAGAAGACTCCAGGAAAGTCACCTGTTCCTCTTTTTCTTTTTCTTGCTTCTGTTCCCCTTCTTTAGATGGTGGTATAGACACTGAGGAAGCTGATATCTGTTTAGTAGGTGGTGGAGGAGGGTGGTGTTCTGGAGGTGGAGATGGAGGTGGAGAAATGCCACTGACATTAGGTACTTCTATACCAAGTGTTTGCATTGGTTTATGATTCAAAAAGCCCTTTACATGGCCGTTTCTTTGGATCTCCGCATTGGTTTTGTCATTACTTGGGGAAGATGTGCTCACAATTTCACCATTTGCTTTGACTTGACTGTTTGTTTGTGAGAGCATACTTTGATCAACTTTGATAGTTGGCACCTTCGCTGTTAGAAGTGTTTGACTTCCTCTTTCCTTTTGGTCCTCTACAGTTCTCCCCCCTTGTAAATGAATAGCTTGGTTGACCTCTGCAAGAGTTTCTAGTTCAATATGTAATGTTGAGCTTCCATTATGCCTCACATCAGGAGGTTCTGCCGTTGTTTGTTCGTGCACTTGTGGTGATATGGACTCGTTTTTTTCTTTTACAGCTTCTTTGTTCTCCGTTTCTTCTTCAATCTTCCTTTCTTCTCCTGTCTGTGTCTTTGGGGTCATTTGTTCAAGAATTTGCATTGAATTTGTGTTTTGATTTTTACCTATTGATGACTCGTTTTGTTGTTTTTGAAGCTGATGTAACTTATGGGGGCTTGGCCCTGGGCCACATAATAGTTCAAGTGTCCATTTATTGTGAATCCAGGTTTCAGGGGGTGGGGGAGATGGGGCTTTTACCTTGGGTGGAGGGGGAATGTTGAACAGTTCCCTAAGAGAATTATTTGGGTGTGTAGGTGTTACCTTGCTTTTCACTGTTATAATAGTTAGAGGGGAGCACTTCAATGGCTCTGATGGAGTGGTGTTGGTTTGAATGTCCTGATGTGCCGTATCTGATGTGACTGAAGACAGAGATGTCATTGACGAAGAGACTGAAACCTCCGGTGAGCTCTGTACACCTGCTCTCTCTGGTTTTGAAGGCTTAACTCTTCTCTTTCCAGGTGAGCAGGGACTAACCTCTTTAGGGGAATGCGTAGGCGTCCCACTTTGACTTGAGTATCCACTTGAAGGAGATAAAGTCCTATCAAATTTGTTTTCACCAGATTCTCCAGTTTTCTTTGGGGATGAGTTACTTAATCTGACGTGACTTCCAGTAAAAGCTTGATCAGGACTAAGTGGGCTAGATTCCACAGACGTCTGGAAATCTTTTAATGAGCTGAGCACGGACGAATGGACAGAACTCTTCTCGTTATCGGTGGACTGGTGGTCTTCTTTTGCATTGCTGAGGTCTCTACCGATTTGCTCATCATTTGGTGCAATATCTTTGAGATCTTTTATGTCTACACGCTCCCTAGATCTCCGCTTAAGTTTTTCATGATGCAGGGAATAGGTTCTCTGAGGCGGTGCTGGTGGTAGTTTTGTTTTCATTACTGAGAGACTACGAGAGAACGAACTGCTGTTTCTAACATTGTCCCCTGCATCATCCATCTCCCTGTGGTCCAGTCTGTGATTTGTATCTTTACTATCAGAATTTGTCCAACTTCTTGAGCTTGTAAGACTGTCCTTTGGGATTAAATCTGAAACATCTTTGGTGCTGTCGGCAACAAAGGTTGGTAGACACCTTCCTTTTGAAGAGATTGTCGAGGAATTGGAGACAACGGTCTCGGATGATTGCGAATGACTCTTGTTGGAACTAGCGGTAAGAGGACCTTGATTTGTCCCACTTCCAGACCGTGAAGAAGCTGGGCTAGCTGATGCTAAACTATTCTTGCTGACTGTACTTGCACTGCGCCGGCTGTGATCATGATTAATTTCAATGATGTCTATTGCAACAGGCAGAACTGCATTTGGAATAATCTTGGATAAATATGTTGCCTGTGGAGAAATGGACATAACGGGACCTTGAGGCTCATGCAGGAAATAGGAAGTGGTCATTCTTGGCACAGCAAGAGATTTAGGCCTCTGTGTAGGGCATGCTCCTAGACCAAGCTTTCGGTTTAACTCATCTTGATAGACAGAATGAATGTGGTTTATTAGGAACTCCTCATCTCTTGATGTCTGAAGAACCTCAATGTTCTGCAGGTGTACACGAGCCCCTTCGTGATTTACTAAAGGGAGCCCTCCATCAGTTGTCGGGATGACAACTGAGCCAGATGAATCATCTTCATCACGTTCTCTGTTTGGAAGCTGCTGCAGTATGGTTCCTCTTGCCATATCTTAAGTAGAAAAAAAGCTAATTAATGTAATTCTTCTTCTTTTTTTTTTTTAGCTGAATAGCTTTGTAATCTCATTTACTTGTCAAAGTTGCAGTTTTAAAGGGATACTCCACCCAAAAATTTAATTTCTGTCATCATTTACTCACCCTCAAGTTGTTGCAAAGTTTCTTTCTTCTGCTAAACACAAAAGAAGATAATTTGAGGAACGATTGGAACATTGGCACCATTGACTTCCATAGTATTTTTTTTTTTCTACAATAGAAGTCAATGATGCCAAACAACTGTTTGGGTCCAATCGTTCTTCAAAATATCTTCCTTTGTGTTCAGCAAAAGAAAGAAACTCATACAGGTTTGCAACAACTTGAGGATGAGTATATGGTGACAGAATTTTCATTTTTAGGTGGAGTTTCCTTTTAAGGAATGTCTTAAAAAACCTGATTTAAAAAAGAAATCTGACAATAACATAGTTTTACATGCCCAATTCTCTTTGAACTTGCTGTGGTATGCCCATGATTGTTGTTCTTCTACTTCTCCTCTTGGTCTTGTCCAGTCTTTTAACTGGGTTCAATGGCTTAAATGTGGAACCTAAAGTGAGTGATAGATCAAAATGAGATTTAATACAAAAAAAAAGTCATGCCATTCTCTTCAGTTGTGTTTAGATTTAGTATGAAGTTGTATTGAAAGTAATAGCAGTTTTCTCTGAACCGGTCTATCACGGGATAGATCATAACTTAATTTTGACAAATGTATGGTTTTGTCTTTGTATTGCTATACCACACATTAGAGGAAAACAAAGGCAGTGTGTGTCACTAAGCAATGCTTATTTTAAGACCCTCGTAAAGTCAGCATTCCACACCTTGACGTGTAAGCACTGGATGCGAGGAGACTGCTGAGACAGTCGACACTGAATTGACAGAGTGCCCAGCAGTGCTATCAGTCTCAAGTGATTCATCTCTTTCTTTTGAGCTTGTGTCTTCCTCTAGCTGTCAAGAAATGGAGGTCATTGTTAGAAAGCATTTCTACATGTATTATACAATTTATGCATATTTGTTTGCATATTAAAGAATGATAATAAATAGGGTACAAAAACTTCTTTGCAAAAAATAAATATAATTATTTAATTCCCTCATAATTACAACTAAGGCTTCCTATCATATGAGGTTTGTTGGATTAAAGTTTTATGATTGTGTCTTATGGTTTTCATTGTGATATACAGTTGAGAAGGTCAAGATCTAAGAGAGAGACCAGAATTACCACATTTAAGAGTTTGAACACATTTTATTTATTTAAATTTAGCTAATATTGTCTATTAACATCGAATAGATTTGACAACAGAATAAAAAAAAAATACTTCATAAACTTACCTCAGTCTGATCATCCTGAAACTCCACCCCATTTGTGTGCTCTGCATGAAAGAAAGACTGAGTGAGGTGCATCAGAAAACACAGTTGTGCGTTAGAAGGCCAGAATGTGAGCAGTGGATCAAGGTTGTCATAAATCAGTACGTTTTGTGTCATTGATTTGAGCATGAGGCTCACCCTCCTGTTGTAGTATCTTCAGTCCCTCCTGGGCTTCTGTATGCAGGTCTTTCAGGTACTGTGGCCTGCTCCCTTCTATGAACACATTCTCCTGGTAGTGCTGGGAGGTTGTGTAGTGTACAGTCAGCTTTCTTTGCTCATCCTGTTTTTGGCCTGTTTAAAATAGAGGGAAGGGGAAATGTATTGTTACTCACATAAAATGGTTGCAGTCTTTCCCAAAAGATTCTCCAAAAATCTGGGGCAGTTGTGGCCTAAGACATCTTTTCCTGACGGCCACCGTAACTTCTGTTGGTTGCAATTCGCAACCTCACCACTAGGCTAGGTGCCGCTAAAATTTAAACAGTGTACCTTTAAGGACAGTTTCTTTACTTCCCTTTCTATCAGATCAAATCAAGATTGGTGAAGCATATAAGCAGGAAAGTTTTGCTAGAGGCTCAAGTCAACATCCACAGATGTTCCCATCGATTATTATTTAATTCAGTATGAAATTTGAATCATGACTGAATAAAGATTTCCACACCCCCGAGTTTCAATGAAAGCCTGGAAAGCTGGTTGTCAAATGATCTAACCCATTCTTTTTCTATCCAGTAGCAACAACTGCTAATCCTGGCAGCTAATTCTATGCAAACGGCACACGTTGATAGATTTCCAACATGGCATTGGCTTACACACTCAAGCTGTGACCAGGTAATCCCTTCTGATCTTTAATTCCTTGAAATACCAGATTACCATTTGCTTTGCTGACTGTGTTTAACATATGGCGTTCAAAGAAAGAAGTTGGCTCGTCTTTCTTTCTTTAAATCTTCTAGCAAATTAATTCTGAAATATTCCAGTCAAGTACTTGTTTATTACCCAACAATACCAAGCTTGGCTGAAATCTGAGGAACTGTGATGAATCCTCCAAATAAGGGCAATGCACCTTAATGCAAAGAAACCATACCACAGCAGTTCTTTAAGGTAGCAGCTACTATAAAACCTGGTTTGACCCAATGAGGACATTCAGACTACAAAATGCAGTAGGGTGACCTAATGTTACCTCTTTTTGGTAAATGTATTTCTAAAACATGCATTACTTGCACCGAGACTCACTGTTAACTTTACAATAGGGAGAAACAGGACACTTGAGGGTGGCCTATCGTCGGACAGGGGCACTCTCAAAGGAACAGTGAGAGGCCTCAGACTTCATTGCGTACCTCCTGAGGTACTTAGGCTTAAACTACTGGCCATGAGATAACCTTTTTGATGTTTCAAAAGGCATTGCAAAATAAAGTTAATGGGAGTGTTTTAGGACCGGGACTTTCCCTTAAAAGAGATCTTCTCAGCCTCTTAGCCATTTATGCAGATTTGCAACTGTTCACTTGGTATCAACTTTTAAGCTTTTTGTATAGGACACCCCATGGGGGTTTCAGGTGTCTTGGCACTGACTTACAGACATTGTGATACAACAGAGTCGCAACGCACACTGGAAAGTGCGCTGTATGAGTCCATTTCTCAAATTACTCCCTTTTTAAGTTGTTACTATGGAATACTTAAAGGAATGTTACCATGTTCAATACAACTCGTATTATCGGTTTCCATTTCAAGTGGATTTCAGTTAAAACATTTTTGGGGGTGTGTTTTGCAAATGAAAAATATTTAAGAAGCTTCACTTTTATTAGCTTTTTTAAAATTTTGTCAATTTTAAGAGTAATAGATGAACATGAACGCTTACAAACAATGTCCCCTAGTATGAATAAAGGTATATGGGTAAAAGCAAAAAGTGTGCTAAAGAATGAACCATATAGCAGCTCCCACACGTTACTCATGGATGAACGGTGCATAACCTTATTCTCTTTTTACTCTGTAATAATGATCTATATCTGTACAGGAACATTATTATTATTGAGTCTGTAAATTTATGAGCATTTAATTGCACATTTTCCCTCAGTGTTCAGAAGCCACCTGTTACATATGTCTGTCCAACAAACACACTGTCAGGACAGGTATGAATCCACAACCGCAATATATTTTTTGCCATATTAAACTTCAGTATGTCTGAACTTAATGCAACACAATTGTACATGCATACAAAGAACAGCGTTTACCTTTTTAACATTCAATAATGTTAATTCTAAGTCTATATACATGAACTAAAATAATCTAGATTCACATGGAAGAGCAAACAGTATCTTGAGAACCAGGAGAAAGGTGAATAATCATCTATAAATTCTTGGATCTGTCAGAATTCTTGTCTACTCACCATTCTTTTTGAAGATTGACAACAGAGACCGAACGTTTTTACTTATAAACACCACCATGTCTGTCTTAAGATAAAGGTCCAGGTAGAGATCATTGCAGTTTGAACGTGTCTCTCACTTAAATGATTAGAGATGCACTCTTTCACCACGCAGCATCATGACTGTCTACTTCTGCAGACACGGACCAAGTGATGTCAACTAGCTGTCTCCCGTGAAGGATAATCAGGTCGGACACAATGAGATCTACTGTTTGCCACCAATCCTCCAGCTGCCCTGATCTTTCCCACCCCTCTTCATCTGTTCTCCCCCTCGCCCCGGCTTTTGTCAACATCTTACTGTGTGGTGTCCCCCAACGTGTTGGCTGTTTTCCTCCATTGTACCATACACCAACTGAACTTGGGATTTGCCTTGAAGGGGGAGCTTGGCTAATCTGCAACCCCTAAAACCTGCTTGGAAACATGCCACACTAAGATCAGGGCATCTAAAAAGGCAAATAGATTGATTTATTCTTTTATTTTGCTTAATTTTTTTTTTTAAAGCACACAGTGTCTAGATTCAAAGACAAAGTGTTTTGGTGCACTGTAAAAAATACTGTTGGTTTAACTTAAAAAAATAAGTAAACTTGTTGCCTTAAAAATTTAAGTTCATTGAAATGGAAAAAATTAGTTAATACAATGAAGGAGATTAATTTAATCACCAGAAACTACAAATATTATGTTATCTGAACTACATAATTTTTTTTACAGTGAATTATAATGTTTATTTAAACTTTTTAAAGGAATAGTTTAATATAGGCCTAATAATAAAAACTGAAAATCAAAAGAAAATGTTTAGAAGAAAGTTCATGCTACACTTTCATGTCATATTTTGACTCTTATTTATAAAAAATATCAAAGTGTACGACTCAAGCACTCATTTTAAAGGTGCAATGTGGGATTTTTAGCGACATCTAGCGGTTCGGTTGCGAGTTTGCACCAGGTTTGCACTAAGGGCTCAGCCCACTGCTCACCCCTCCCTTTCGAAGAAGCTACGGTTGCGCTGTTTGTTCGCGTTCGGCTACGGTAGAAATATGACGTCACAACATGGCGACCTTCAGAGAAGGGGATTCCCGCGGTTATGGAGCTATAAATGTCTCATTCTAAGGTAATAAAAACATTACGGTTAATTAAGTAAGTTCTTTATACACCACTGAAAACATAGTTATGGATGTCATATTGCATTTCTGTTAATATATACTCAATTTTTTTACACATTGCACCTTTAAACATGTAGGCTTCCATTTTATGAAAAGTAACAGAGGTGAACATTTTCAAACCATGAAAAATCATATCTTTTTTTTTTTTGATAACATTTTCAATTTTTGGGGGTTGTTTTTCTAGTGACCATGTTGTACATCTTACATTTGTAACTGTAAGTAGCAGAGAAAAGACTGCAAAAAGAGATTTAGAGTATATTGGTTGATGCATTCGCAGGTTTCAGAGTTCATTCAGATTATTTCAGGTTTAGAGTAACATGAGTTACTATTTGTGTTTCATAACTCTTTAGGGGTGCAGCAGCGCTTTACCATTAAACAATTTTTCGGGCATCCCATTTCCTCACTCGCTGCTCTAGCTTTGGCACTAGAATAGAGACTCAAGTGGAGTTGGCTGAGAATAACGGGCGTCACTTCAAACTGAAAAAGAAAGGTCACTATTTCGGCTGGAAAACTTTCACCACTTTTCCCTTCAATTCGCTGAACCTTTTTGCTTGCAAAGGTAAACATTAATATTGGTCATAATAACAATTGAACAAACCCTTGAATGCATGAATTGGTACCTAAAATTCTAATATTTTTCTTTTTTCAGTCTGTCATTTAGATTGCACCCAGTCTACCAACTGCCTGTTGTCCAACACACAAAATCCCATTAATATTTCTCAGGGGATCCAAAAGATACCATCTGGCACATGGTGTGAGATGAGGGTGGAAGAGCAAGCCTTTAAACCACCACCAGACCATTGAGTTTCTTCACACTAAAGCTTTTGAGTCCCTAGAAAAAAAATTACACTTAATGTATCTGAACTGAACACTGACTTGGCTATTAGCAATCGGGTTTGTGAATGCAATTAATTTGTAGTGACTGACAGTGTTTAGTATTAGTTATATATTATTAGTAGGCTATGTATTCATATTTTGAAATAGCTTTTATTTTTATATTTAATTTTTCTTAATATTTGTAATTCATTCATTTTAGTACTTCATCTTAAATTTATTTTCGGTTTGGACAAAACTGTAAAATCATTTAATATTTATATTTTGTATTTTTAAATATTTCCATTATATTTTTATTAGTCTTTATTTTAATATTGTAAGTAACATTATTATTTGCAATGTTTCTGCTTAAGGAACATCTCTCCTTAAGTTTCCTAAAGATAATGCACAAAAGTAAAACTGACAGATATGAGTTACCCAAATAGCCTAGGATGGATGAGGCCTGCGTCCAGACTTGAGCATGGTAACTCAGGGATCCTTCGATTGGTAATCCACCTACCTAGTGGCGTATCGAAACATCCTTTAAAAAAAAAAACTGACAGATATTAGAACCAAAACTATATATATGTCACAACACGGCTGTTTGTTGCAACTCATGCACATTTAAGTTGTTTTCCCGACTGCAGACGGATAGAGGAATATTTTTAGTTAAGAAGCTGTTGTTCCGATTTTCTCACTGTCCTCATTTAAACCAAATATTTTTGTGTAAAGTATATAGGTACACAAGTATATATATATATATATATATACGAAAGGTGAGATTATAAGGAAAATATGCTACAATTAGCTTTAAATATTTATATCCACCACCCAGTGAGACTAACTGTGGGATTGTGTTGCTTGGCCTGGGGCTTTCAAAGGAGGGCGTACTCTTTAACATTTGACTT